TAGAATGGTGGTTGCCAGGGGCTGGGCAGCGGAGGAAATGAGCAGGTATTGTTTAATGGGCATGCAGTTTCAGTTTTACAAGATGAAAACATTCTGGAAATCTGTTCTACAACAATGTTAAGTATATTAACATTAACAATACTGAAGTATGCACTTAAAAATGGTAAATATGATACATTTCATGGTATGCATTTTTTAACCAAAATTTTTCAAAATTAAAAACTTTAGAAAAGAGATAATGATGTCTTATGGAAATGAATTTTCTGGCCTCCAAATGAAACATTGACAGTACTGTTTTAAAATGAACAATTTATCTGGTCAATTTAAACACTCATTTAGAAGGTGAAATAGGAAGAAGATGCTTAAAATAAACATTCTCATTGGACAAGGAAGTCTGGGAGACACCCAGCAATGACCGATTTGTAGCAATTCTGATATACTGCTTGGTAGACATCAAAAGGGCCTCTTACTGGAACAGGAACAGGGACTCTGATCTCACTTGCAGGAAGGGCTTCCTTGTCCAGGTCCCCAGATCCACCTTCTGTGAGGCCCTTGCTTGTCCATTTCTTCTCTTTGGTCACACTGTACTTGGAACTCAGTGGACATGCCCTCATTCAGTGGCCATCATGGCTTGTTTCTACCTCATGGAAGATTCAGAAGTTGTTTTATAGATAGAATAGTCAAAGGCTTTTTCAGTCTTGGCTTCTAATTTTCCTGGCAACATAATTTTCTCAAAAAATTACTAGCACTGTTCCAATCTACCAGTAAAGACATGTAAAATCTCTTTCTACTCGTAGAGGTTGGCATATTTCTGTGCTTCCTCCACACCCGACCCATAACTGTCTTTTAGGATCAGGCTCCCAGGCTAGAATGGGAATGCCACATTGTTAACCCACTCTCTTCCTGAAGCCACTCTGTCCAACTGAAAGGTTTTATGGATATTTTGTTGTTCAAATCATTTTTAAAAATTCCATCCCACTGCCTGGGATGGTGAAACAGATGTATTTCAAACTTTACAATGTCCTAAATGTCTGGACTCTATGCTCCCTTTTGTTCCTGATTGGAAATTGGTCAAGGCTAGGTCAGAATAGAGGACATTATGAAAACCCAAGTCAGAGGTTACCAGGACTGGCTGTCAGCTCTAATGACCTGAATATGAGAGAACTGAGGAGCACATGGCATCAAACTCATCTGTGCACCAGTATCCATCTTCTAAGGAACTCGTAAAATACACCAATGGGAAGAGGAACCTTTCCCCCATTGTAACATTCTAAATCAGAATCTTTGAGGATGTCATGATGTTTTGGAAAGACCTCAGGTGACTCTAATGTACCTTAGGTCACTTAGGAAACATTTAATGCACCAATTAAATCCACAGCCTATGAACCCACAGATAAAAGGTGACTTGCAAAAGTTTACCTGACAATTTAGTTACCAAACCAGATACAGATCTCAAAGCCTAGGTCATAGTGTCCAGCTACCTATTGTAAATCTTCACCTGGCTCCTGGCTGTGATTGTCTCAGTAGTGTCCCCCTCCCAAAGATGCTCACATCCTTGTGGCTGGGCGAGGTGGCTCACACCTGTAATCCCAGCGCTTTGGGAGTCTGAGGCAGGTGGATCACCTGAGACCAGCCTGGCCAACACGGTAAAACCTCATCTGTACTAAAAATACAAAAATTAGCCAGATGCGGTGGTGCACATCTGTAATCCCAGTTACTTGGGAGGCTGAGGCAGGAGAATCATTTGAACCCAGGAGGCAGATGTTGCAGTGAGCTGAGATTGTGCTACTGCACTCCAGCCTGGGCAATAGAGCGAGACTCCATTTCCAAAAAAAAAAAGCCTACATCCTAATCGAATCCCTATGCTCTATAAGTATGCTACCTGACATAGCAAAATAAATTTTATAAATGTGATTAACTTAAGAATCTTGAGATGAAGATGTTATCCTGGATTATCCAGATGGGCTCAGCATAATCACAATATAATCACCTTTCATGATGAAGGCAGGAAGGTCAGAGTCAGAGACAAGATGTGACTATGAAAGAAAAGGAGTGAGAGAGAGAGAGAGAGAGAGAGAGAGAGAGAGAGGTTTTGAAGATACAGGAAGAGACATGAGTTGAGGAATTCAGGTAGCCTCTAGCAGTTGGAAAAAGGCAAGAAAATGGATTCTCCCCTAGAACCTCTGGAAGGAATGAATATAGCCCTATGGACCCATTATCACTTCTGACCTCCAGAACTATAAGACAATGTATTTTTGTTGTGTTAAGCCATTAAGCTTATGGTAATTTGTTATAGTAACAGTAAGAAACTAATACAGATTTTGGTACCTGGAAATATGGTGCTTCTGTAACTAACACCTACAGATGTGGACATGGCTTTGGATCTGAATAACAAGCAGAAACTGGGAGAATTTTGAGCATGATATAAAAACCATAGATTTCCTGGAACTAACTGTTGACAGCAACAGGAAAGGAATGCATTGCACTTGGCACTCTCTTCTAAAACAGAGTCTCACCACTGCCAATGCCCTGTGTTCAGTTTCATCATGCAAGGAGCAAGGAATTCCATGCTTGGGTGGAAAAGAGTATGAGTCAAGATTTCCTGAAAATGAAGAGATGTGACCTGCAAGGGGAATGTAAGCAGATTAATTTGGGGTTTGAGCACGTGGATCCCCTCTTTGTCTGCCTCCTCTCCTTCCACACTGTCTGCATCAAATCTGCCTGGCGTCACAGGGCTGCTCCTCAGAAGCCATATGATGAGGTCTCATTTGTTTGCATTCCATTCTCTTTTCGCCTCTTGGCATCTACTGCAATTTGAGATTTCACTCCTGATTGATGATCAAGGCCAGGGAATGTAGGGGTAGAGGAGAGGCAGGGAAGGCTGCTTGACCTGGAGTGAGGGTCAGTGAGTTTTCTAAATAGCTGTCAATAAATTGTCTGCTGACTGATGTATCAGGATACTTGGAGCTTTGAAGGGATTCCATAGTCTGATTCAGGGACCCTGGACTGGCCCAGGAATGTAGAAGCAGAATCCCCTCTCTCCCTCTGCAACTCCAGTTAGTAGAAGTGGAAGTTTTCCAAGAGATGTGCTCCCAGATCTGGAAGGGAACCTAACTTCCTCTAGGTTCCTATTTGTAACACATTATCATCCCTGTGTTATCGATGTAGGCTCAGAATATCTGACCTGTCCTGGCTGACAAAGCGAGTCAGTGCTGGATCTGGGGTGAGAACCTGAGTGTGCTTCTTGCCGGTCAAAGTTGTCCCTAGCACCTCATGCTGCCAAAAGCACTGCCTGCTCTAGCTTGACACAGTAGTCATTTCCCCACCAGATTGGGAAGTTGACAACCACGCAGTTTATTCAATAGAGCAAGACATCTGTTTTCCTGAGTGTTGGGATGGTGTGGGTGCCCAAACAGGCCAAATGCTTCACAGGTGGGACAAATATCATGCAAAGGAGTAAACACATTAAGTGGATATTTAGGAAAAGGAGGCTCATCTGTTTAAATGGATGATTCCAGGCTCCTGAGATTGGGATGGGGGGATAGTAATGGAGGGTAACACATTCTGGTTTCAGGGAAGCTGCCGCCTTAAAATGTGGTTTGAAGATGAGGTTTTCGTATCTGAAGTCACAGGTCTTTCTGCTCCATTTACAACATGCAGCATTTCACCCTGCATAGTTCATTATTCTCCAATGCTGCCTCTTGGGCTCCATATTTAGGCCTTCATCATCTCTTGCTTGGACCATGGCAATAGCTTCTCACTAGTCCCTGTTTCTCTGTGTATGTGTAAAATCAGCAAGTTATATTTCCTGAAACTTATCTCTGAATCTCTAAACATGGCACATCCCTCCTCATTGGACTGAAGATTCTCAACGTTTCCTTTAAACCTACAAAGTTGAGTACTAACTCTTCACCCTAACATTCAAATCCCTTGACTCAACCTTCCTTTCTAAATTGTCATCCCTTGACGTTGGTATGGGCCCAAATTACCATCTGATTCATTGGTGTTCTCCCTCCTTGATGTATACATCATCACCATTTCTACCTCCAGGTATTTGCTCCCACTCTTCTTTTTCCTTTCTTAATGATCCTATAATTTTTCTGGAAAAGCCTTATTCATTCCTAAAGAATGAGTTCAAGTCTCATCATCTCTATGAAACTTCAATCTAATCATCTTATCTATGGTGATTAAGTCTTTCTTTATTTCCTAATATTGACAGTGTCTGTATTACTCCAGGTTGGGGGATTAATTGGAGAGGTACAGATTGGGAGTGGGTAGCTCAGTTAGCGGGCAGTTGTGATATGTTATGGGAAGAATTGCATGCAGGGGTCTGGGTCTGTGAGAAAAGGAATGGGGGTTGGGCTCTTGCTAAATAGGTGACCAGGGTCATTGGGATCTGGGCAGTTGATGTTGAAGACTGGAAGGGTGGTGTTTTAATGCCTAACTGGCCTGACATAAAGATTCTTTTATGGATGCTCAGAGGAGACCACCCAGTGGAGAAGACCGGGGCCAATCCACATTCCCACTCCTTCAAAATGTGAGCCCCACCCTCTGAAATCATGTTCCTTTGTCGCCACCAAGCTCATACTCTCAGCTTTGTAATTTCCTTCAAGAAAACACTGGAAGTCAGGTTTTGTACAAAAATATATTTATTTTGTGTAATAGTTACATAATATTCATTTCCACAATAATATTTTAGCAATGCATTGGAATGTTAAAACAAAAATTCTTTGTATTAATGATTCTTGCAAAGACCCTCAAAACATCCCAGGGATAGAACTGTGGTTCAAGAGGAAAAGCAATTTCCCCAAGTCTCCGTATCTAGAAAACACTAGTACTACAAAAGACAAAATAAAAACATCAATAACTTAAATAAGATTAACATTACTTAAGGCATAATGTTTCATATCAACAAACAAAATTCATTATAATAAAATAAAACAGGGGAAAACTAGAGGAAAATAAATTAGCTGCAGATGCTTGGGTTGTGGAGTGAGTGTTCAAGGCTTCGGAGTTTGGATTTGCTTGTCCAGGTGGTCCATGGAATCCTGAACCCACTTCTGCTTGGGGTCAGCACAGATCTCCTTGGCCACAATGGTCTTGAAGCTGTGGGGAGGGAGGACAGAGTTAGATGAAGTTCCTCTGCAATTTTGGCCTAGAATTGCATCCCATTCTGCACCAATGGGCTGCCATGGGAACTAGAGGAGGAAGGCAGGTGGAAGGAGGGAACCCAGGGCAAACTGCTCTTATAGGTGTCCAGGTGGAGCCATCCTGACTTCAAACTAAAGAAATTGGGGTGTTCTGAATAGGCACCCAGGTGGAGAGTGATGTTGGAGTTCACTTTTTCTCTTGGTGCCTCAGTTTTCCCATTGGGAACCTTTGTATATTAAGGTAAACAGTGCACTCTCTAACTCTCGGTTTATGAGGCTTGTCCCTTGCTCCCCAAGGAAGAACCTCAGGCCAGGGAAGGTTGGTATGCTGAACTCACATCACAGCTTCTTTGGGACACTTGCTGCTGGTGATTCTTCTATAGCTCGCCAGCCTCTGCACTGAGATCTTCCTATTGGTGAAGTTATAGCAGCAAGTGACGGGGGCATTGATTGCATCTGAAAAATAAACCACAAAGAAAAAGCATTTTAGGATGGACTGGATTATTCTGATCTTAAGAGCAGAAAAGAGTCCTGAGGAAAAAGCAAAAGGAAGGCAGGAGAAGAGAAAGAGCTCATTAAATCCCAGTGCTTCTGCCTATACCTCAGAGCTAGAATGTGATCTTTGACCCAATGACTCAGTTTCCTATGATGTAAAACAGGTATATAACATTGATAATAGACAGAGAGGAGGGGCTGTTAAAGCCAGATAATACCTACAAGTGCCATTAAGATGGACCAATAATCCAGATGACCAGCGCCAGGGAAGAACAGCTGGGGAGCACCGCCATGAGTCTCCTTTTAGGCTCTGAATAGTCTATACCCCGTCATGAGTTTCCCTGATACTGTCTCTGGAAGCTAAGGTGAATGAAGCACAGACCAGATTCTGGGTCTTCAGCGTGTCTGGAAACAGCCTATACACCCACCCTCTCTTTGATTACCCTGATCCCCAAACTCTGCTGGAAGCAGCTGGGAGAGTAACTGTGCTGAGTGTGTCCCAGAGATGGAATCCTGGAAGGAGCTGGATTTGGGGTTCACAGCTGGAATTCTAGTTCAGGCTCTGCCCAGCAGCAGCTGTGTGGTTGGCCTCACCCCTTGTCCTTTTCTGAGTCACCTTATCTTGGAAAAGTAGCGTTAAAGCAAGACTGTGGGTATCACGTCTGCTTGGATGGTCCATGATAACTCAGAGAGAGGACAATGTGGTTCAAGGAGAAGAAGAGGGGGCCTTACCTGGCTGAGCGAGCCCCTGGGGGCTGAAGGTGGCTGCTATGAGCAGCAGGCACAGAAGTGCTGCAGAGACTTTCATGCTGGAGGTGAGGGTGCAAGCTTCAGTTTGAGAACTGGATGTTTCTGGGTTAGTCTCAGCCTCTCTGTTCCTCTGGCTGCTGTCTCTGCCTTTTATTGAAAGCAGGCAGAGGGAGAGAGAGGGTGGAGTCAAGCAGGAGGAGGGATCTTCCATGAATAATAAGTGGGCTGTTAAATCTGCTGAGCAAATGCAGCGTCCTGGGGATTTCCAGGAAGTAGGAAAGGGAAGCAGTGGGTCAGGACAAGACACTTTTTCCATTCACTGCTGAGACCAAATGAGCAAATGGGGAGGATGGGGTGCCATTAAGCACAGACTGACCACAGATGTGAACTAAGAGGACTATTTTTAAGGATTCCGCTTTCTCTGAAGTGAAAACTGCAGAAAAGGAAGGAAGCGAGGAAACTAGATGAAAGCATGTCAGGCTCGCTGCCAGCTTACCTTCATGCCACAGTCCAAGGGGCCTCCCAGCCAGGAAGGAGCTCTCAAGCTTTGGCGGGCTCCCTGACAATGCATTAAATCCATTTGCTCATTCAGATGCAGGATAGTAGCACAATAGAAGCCTAGCAGAACTGTAGGATTGTGTAAACATTGAACGGAATTCTAAGAGTTCTAGGGTTTCAGACTTGGACAAAGCCATAGACATCATGTAGTGCTACAGAAGAAATGCTGGTGTCATACTCACAGAGTGCTTACTCTGCCAGGAATATCCTCAGCCGTTTACAAACATTAAGTCTGTAAATTCCCCAACTTTATCTAGTAGAGATTGCTAATTTCTATGTTATAGATCAGGTAAGATCAGGCAATCGAGGCACAGAAAGGTTAAATAGCCTGCTCAAGGTCCCCTCGAGCGGAGAACCCAGGCAGCCCTGTCCCAAGTGGGCTACCACCTCTGTGACATACTGCTGGAAGGAAACGTGCACAAGTCCTCCAACTAGTTGCCTGCTTGGGTCCTCTCTTTGTCCTCAGCATCTTCCTAATGGGCAGACAGCTAAAGGAGAGTCTAGAAACATTCCTCATGGCTAAGTGATTACGAGTTACGAGGCTGTTGCTAGCATAGCAGGCAGCAGTGGACAAGAAGTTCATCCCTGGTTATGGCAACTATTCCCCCGGCTTCCTTCTTGATTTCCAGACGACATGAGTAAGCAGAGGAGGAGTATTTCGGGAACTGGAAAGCCTGGCTTCATTCTTCAGTTTTGCCTTAGATTTCCTCAGAAACTACAGAAGCATACTAATAAAAACCCAAAGACCTTGGAATTCATTTCAGTGAACTCTTTTTTCTTACAAATGTGATAGGAGTACTTGAGGCATGTAAATGGCTGAGCTGAGTTTAAAATTCTGATCTCTCGATTCTCCCAGCCCACTGCCTCCTCCTGAGCCTCGTGGTGCCCTTGCCCAATGGGCATGCAAAGACTAGTGACTGTTGTTTCATAATGGGTCACTGAGGCAATGTCTATAAATACATGGGGTTTCTTGGAAGAAAACACTTGTCACTACACTTGTAAAAAGAAATGGGTTGTATTCAACAAATGACGGTTTTATTCGTAGTAAATGGTCAGTAATGGCATTGTTGAGTGCATTCCGGGAGTCAGGTATGGTGCTGACATACTTTCCAGCACTGCCTGCTTAGTCCTCCAACCAACCCAGCTTTCATTAGGTTAAAACTGAAGTTATTTGTCTAGGAACTCAGACAGAATAGTAGATGTGGCTGAGACTCCCACCCAGGACATTCCGATTCCAGAATCTCTTCTTCCTGGGACTAGACTTGATGTCTCATGATGGATATTGGTTTCTTGGAGAATCCCAGAGCAGAGACTCTATGGAGTGGCCATTTCAGACTCTGGTCGAATTACGAAAAGGCAGGGTGAAGAGAGAACAAATCAACTTGAACCCTGCTTCGCTTGTACCTCTTGAGGAGCCTTATTCTCGTTCTGCCTGAATCTCACTAGTTACCCCTTTTCTCTCCAACCAGTGTTGAAACGTCTCTGTGTTTGGCTCAGTCCTCTGCTCATGCCTCAATCCATTCTTATCCAATGAATAAAATGTTTCCAGGACTAGAGACTGTGCAACTTTGTGTAGGGATTTCTTCCTAGACCCTCTCACCTCATCTTCCAAGAAGTTTTCCTCATATCAAGGGAAACCTCTCTCTAATCTGTTAGTGCCTCCTTTACCATGAACTTGGCGAACTGCATTCCATTTCCCTTTAAAATCCAATCATGCTTCAGGTTTTCTCTAGGTTAACAAGCTGAAAGATGCTGAGATCTTTAAACAAGCCTCTCCTGACTTAGCCACATCAACATCACTCATAGAATTCCAGGATCAACGGGCTTACAGACATCCTGTCGCATGGCCACTTCTTTTTATCTGGCAAAGCCACAATCCAGAGAAAGAGGCTAATTAGGCCGTGGTCACAGAGAAAAACTTCCCAGCTTTGCTGGCTGAGTGTTTAGACAGGCTTCTGAGTGTTGGAAGCATGTCCCTACTTCAGGGAGGAGTCGTCATCTCTGGAAAGGGACTTTGCCTTTGCAAATACCAGATAGTAAACACATGTAAGGTGAAAGGGTGTGAATCAGAAAAGAAAGTCTTCTGGAAAGTGATAGCTGTCTGCCTCCCACTTCTGTTCTGTCAAGAAAAGATGCCCTCCCCAGCTGGGAGGTCAGTGCCGGGGTGAGAGAAATGAGTGGAAATTCCCACTCTGAGGCAGCTTTGGAAGTTCCCAAATCCCGTAGAAAAGAATGCATTTGGCTGGAGCCTGCATTCCAGATGCTGGGCCCGGAGCCAGGGAGCTCTCATGTGGGGCTGTGCTGGGAACATCTCGGCACAAGCCTGGTTGGGTTCTGGCACAAGTCTGGTTTGGGCTCTCACTTGGGGACACACAAGGGAAAGGCCCCCAGAGGGGCTACAGAGAAAGTGAGGGTCAATGCTCTGATGCTGTCCAGAATCCCCAGTTACCCCAGGGCCTCCTCTCCATCAACTCATAGATAAGGAATGGAAAAGTTCCTCTCGGTGAATAATGCTTTCTTCATTCCTCCCGGGGTCTGACTCCACCAACACGATCCTCTGCATGTACTTTGGTCATCGCTGCAGACTCCCACTCAATGTCAGGGGTGAAAAAAACAGGAAGTTAAAGTGAGCTCTCAAGAAAGATCTGAAGCCACTGCCTGGGCCCCCACCAACTTCTGCAGTTCACTTGTCCCTTCCCACTTAGTGTAGGCTCCCTTGCTGGTGCTCCCTTCGCTCAGCCTTCAAGAGAGATGCACCGTAGCTCTGCCCTCACCACATCTTTTCTAGACAACCCCCTTCAAGGCCTCTCCTCCAGGTTCATTCTTAGCTCAGCTCCAGGTAGAACGCAGCCCATTTTCCCAGGGCTGCTACTCTGCAATCCCTTTCCTTTCAAGGATGAAAATCCTTCTTTAATTTTTCACAGAATATCAGAAAATGGATGAGACTTTAGAGACCATCTACCTGTTTCTCTGGTGGGGAGACTGAGGCCATGAACAGGGTAGTGACAGGCCCATGGTGAGATAGAAGACGAATGGCTATATTTGTGCTGGTTTGCTTATTTCTGGGCTCTCAATGTAGTGCCCTTTGTCATCTACTGCACTGTCTCTTTATTATAACATTCATAGCATTAGCACATACCCTGTGCAGAGCACCAGGTAGAGGATTGCACAGGGAGGGAGAAGTGAATCAGACATGATGCTTCCTTTTCAGAAGAGATGCTAAAGTAAGAATCCATGGAAAGTAGGACTGAATTTAGGAATAAATCTGACCCCAAGCTTCCAGCATCTAAGATTTCTTGCTTTCTGGATTGGATCTGCCTCTGGTCTAACTGCATGAAGTAGCCAAGAATATTCCTGAGCATGGGAATAGGGGTGGCGATGGGCATAGCATGTGGGAACAGAAAGAGAAGTGGCCTGAGTTGGTGGGTGGGGGTAATGGTGGTGAATAGTAGTGATGCCTGAGGAAGCAAGAGGCTTGTTCTTCAGATTATCTTCTGAGCCGGCCCTCACAGATTAGCACCTGGGCCCTAGCGGAGGAGGCTGATGTGGGTGGTGGGTAGGAGCTAAGAAATTTCTTAGGCTAAAGGCAGCATGAGCCACTCTACAGCACTTTTGTGTTACACATTGGGGAAGAAAATGCTTTCCTCATTTGGGGCTTGCATTGTACTAGGTGGCCTGAGCAGTGTGATGAGGGGGTCAAGGTGCCAAACTGGGACAGGGGGACGGGCAGGTCTTAGGGAAACAGAGATCAGATGGAGTGGAGACAGAAACACTTTTTTGACAATAGCCTTTTGTTGACTCCTTTAGCACTGGTGCTGGGGTCATCTGAAGGAACAGAATAATTGCATTAACCAGAAAGATACAGAGCTGTCAGTCCCAGCTGAGGGGGCCCAGGGAAGGTTTGTGTTGGTACATTTAAGATGGGCTCAAAAGTTGGGCAGATTTGTGAACCTTGGGTGATCGTTGGGTGGAGGAGGGGTCACATTTGGAGCAAACATATAGGTTGCAAACTGTAACATGCTTACCATCTCCTTAGGATTTTGCTAAAGTAGAGATTCTGACTCTGTAGGTTTGGGTGGGCCTGAGGTTCTGCATTGCTAACCAGTTCCCAGGTGATGCTATTGCTGCTGGTGCACAGCTCTGTTAGAACAACCTTAACGTTTGTCTTTGGATAGGAAATGTTGGCCAGGTGGGAAAATAGTGAGCAGCTCATTTTGTCCAGACCAGGACTCTTGTCTGTGGCTCTTGGATAGGCTTCCAGATCCATCAGGAGTTGTCTTCCACATTTATGTTATTGTGCATTTTTCTGGAGAGAGGGTCTACAGCTTCTGTTAGATTAGCAAAGGCATCCATGACCTCCAAGTAGTTAAGTGCCATTGAATTTATCAGAGAGTTCTGGGCTTCAACCCAGACCTGCTGAATCACAGTCTGCATTTTTTATTTTATTTTATTTTTTTGAGACAGGGTTTCACTCTGTCGCCCAGGCTGGAGTGCAGTGGC